GAAAGCTGTTGCTCAGCCTCATCTGCCCATGGCACTGCTCGCACAGAGGCACTGAGCTGTGGCAGCACCCCCATCCCTGAGCTGTGGCGGTGTCCTCTTTTCCCGGGGCCTTGCTCATCCCCCTGTGTCTCTCTGCGTGCTGCCTGGATGAGCAGCTGATGTGTTTTGTCCCACTCTGCTCTGACCTAGAGGAGTATCACAAGAAGAAGCCCGTGAATCACTTGAGAGCAAACCTGCAGTACATGCTGAAAGGACGATTTGTTGCAAACAAAGCCATCACAGAACAAGTAAGAGTGTCACTTCTTTCTCTGGGAGTCTGCTTCCGCTGAGGACCACGGGTGAATGGGAATTATCCCCAGCTTAGACCCTGTGAAAAGGAACGAAGTCAAGTTTCTGTCTGCAGTGGCCTGGAGGAATTTCTGTGGGCACTGGCAAAACAGTTTACTAAGCTTTAAACTCTTGTTGACCTGTTGTCCCCTGTGATGTTCTCTGGCTTTTCTTAATTACCAAAGATATTTCATAGCTTCAGCTGGCAAAGAAGCTCTGGTTCAGACCTTCTTCTTAATGTTGATTGATTTGATTTGTCCTTCTCTGTAGCTGGAGGCTGTTTAGCAAGGAGCCAGGTGTGCTGCTTGCTCACATAATAGGAATTTCGTAGCATCTTGAATGATGTTTGTCATAACCTGAGCATTTAACCACTGGTCTTTCCCAAAGGTAGCCCTGTGCCATGGTTTGAAGAGAATAGCTGACACTGCTAGAATCTTGGGCTATTTTTATGAGATACGGGCTGTTAACTTACACAAACTAACCAAGTGGTTTAGGGCAGTGTTTCCCAGGCTGGAGACTGTGAAAGGAGGTGATGTTGTATTAGAAAATATTGAGGGAATTCCACCAATTTGTTGGGTTTTCAGGTTGGCTTGTGGAGAGACAGGATAAAAGAAGGTCAGTTTCAGAAAGGTCTGAATTGAAATCGGTGTTTCTATCTCTGTGACAGTTACCAGAGAGTAATTTGACTCCAGGTACTAAGGTGGTATTTGCTGTTGTCCCAGTGACCTGCTTCAGTTAACATCTGTGATTGCCTTTCACTTTTCTTTGGAGGCATTCCAGGATATAGCAGGGTACTGGCAGAATAGCAGCGATGCTGCAGGTGAGCTTGCAGATCACCGGTTTGTGGTTTGGTCTGGGTAACAACAGCTGTTGTTTTCTTTTTTTGTTGTCTGAAGGTTCTTGCTCAGAACAGAGGCAGGAAGTCCAAAGATCGGCCTCCAAAGAAGGCGGCAAAGAAGAAGCCCGAGGGCACTGTCTTTACTGAGGAAGATTTCCGTAAATTTGAGAGAGAATACTTTGGGAGACCATGAACAGCGTGAGAGGGATTCTCGCAGCTCTAGTCTTCTGCGCAGCACGCGGGAGTGGCCGTCTCCTCAGCATGATTGAGATGGGACATTGGAGATGTGCCTCTGGGAGCAAGTGCTTTAATGTCACACTTGCAGAGGAACTCTGTGCCTGTGCAGAGCTTGTTACTGGCCAGCTAGAGCATGGAGGTTCTCTTGGCTCTGAGGTGTGTCGTCCTTACAATCTCTTGCATTCTTAATATAGAAGGGTGGACCGAGCCACAGATAAATCTGGTTCCCCCTCCTCAGGATGTAAGGCTTCTGCTACCTGTGTTACTTGGCAGCGAGCATTGGAAGTACTGTATCTGAATGGAGAAATGTGTTGGACCAGCACTAACAAATCATCAGAAGGGAAGGATGGTTTATAAAGACTGTTAAACCCGAGTAGCCTTGCAGTTTCTGTTCTAATTACAGCCTCCGTCAAGTTTTTCAGTCGTTGCAAAAACTTTGTGTATGTCGTTTGATTAAATAATTGTTGCAGACGCTGCCTATCTTTGCCTTTGTAATAGTGATTGTTATGACAGGCTGCGATTGATGAAGACAAACCGTGTCACTGTGCTGATCCAAGCATCCCTCTCTTTCGGGTGACTCAGTTGTGCGAACGGCTTCTCTCGCTGATTCACGCTGACACGTGTATTTAATTTGACATGCCCAGGCCTTCAAAGAGCGCAGGCTGGAACGGAGATGACTCCTCAGTTTTGCATGCTCACGGTCTCCCCACTGCAAGGAAGAGCTTTCAGATGGAGAAAGTTGTGCTTTGGATGCGTATACCAGAGCCGCCCACGGAGGGTCTGGCCACACTCGGAGGGACCCGCTGCTGGGCACTGCCAGCTCCTCTAGCCAGGAGGGGTTGTGACCCAGGTGTTGGCCTGGGCACTAAGTTAAAATCTTCCCAGCCAGAGGTTGTGGTGCTGGGTTCAAGGGAATTTTTTTTTATTAGGCTACTGCTGCAACAAATAGAAGGCCCAGCAGGTGGGAGTGTTGTTGTTCCAGACACTCTTCCTCACTAATTCACTGTACATATGCTGCTGGGATTCT